ACACTACTTACAAGCACAGTTCGAGTATGATTCTGACTCGGCTCTTGACCTGGTGGAGATGGTGGTAGCGTTCTTCGGCGTTTGGTGGTTCCCACTTTAGTAGAACGTTTTCTGAAGTAACAATTTTGCTCACATAGATTGATATCGTAACAATGTAGTAGATTCTGATTCATTCCAAACTTTAAGTTTGAATGATTGAATGTTGTGATTACATTTGAAACGATTGTGCGTACCATACATGGCATAAAGTGTGAAACTTCCCGGAAAACTTTTGACTCAGGAAAGGTAACATCACCTACTTCCGCTTTTCTCCACTATTGACGGAATTCATCCTCCTGGCGACGTCCGCTGGTATTACAGGCAGCTGCAAAGACATAATACAGAGAGGCGTGCAAATTTAGCACACATACTCGACGACGTTCTTCTGGTTTGAGCTTGGTGCAATTGCATTTCGGTGTTTTTTCGAAAGAAAAAAGGTGCGGACAACATCCGAGTGATCGTAACAACACCTAAACAAGCGGGAATAAAGTTAGAGAATCAAAATCAACTAAAGATCCTTCTGCTTACCCTGAGCCACCCTACTGCTTGACGAGCTGTACGACAGACGGGAACCCGCATTAAAACATGATCTGCAGAGACCCTCCACTTGAATTTCACATATATAGCAGATACGTCATCATCATCAGTGTTCAACATGTTTTGCACTTCCAAACGATGCTCAGGCGAAGCACATTGGTAGATATCCTAGACAGATGAATAGCACAAATCAAACAGTAAATTCTTCTAAATCATCAAATGATTTTCAGACACGATCATGAAAACACTTACCGCTATCAACACTCTGAAGACATGAGGTATTGGTCCGGCCTCATAGTATCGAGCTAGAGCACCAAATTGTGATCGAGTAAACCAAGGCCCGACGCGACAGGAAGGGTGGACGTAGATTCGCGGAAGCCATACGTCACCTGCGGTCATACGATATGGTGCAAGCCGAGCAATGAGTTAAAGAAAAGAGATATTCTGAATAGAGTCGCTTGGCCAATGCAATGAACTTGGCCATATCGAATTTACGAGAATGAAACACTGACTAAGATACGCACCTTTCGTCCAGAACTCCGGTATGAAAGAAGGATCATTTGCACTCTTTTCTTGGAATATGTTGCCAGGACGTGATGTGTACCCCGTCCGTAACATATCGAATCGAGGAGAACCCAAAAACATCTCATCAAAACTGGAAACTGAAACGCGTCACCAACCTTCGTTTTTTAGTGGAGGCAAAGACATGAACGGCGCTTCTCCGATAAATGGAATGTCATACATAGCAGCAAATCCGCATGGGAAGAGGTTATCGCAGCTGTGAAGAGGGACCATATAGGACCAAACCGGTGTAAATGTGGAAATATGTGCCTACGAACCCAACAACAAACATCAGCGGTGGATTAGGAGTCGTGTCACAGCTCAGTTCAATAAGCACAAGATTACGAACAGCGCGATGAATCAAAGCTGCGTACATGACTCCGCGTTGGTAACAAAATACCTGCAATAGATATTATCAGGAAAAAAACAGACTGTCTATTCTAAAACATTACCAAGAAACTCAAGATACGTTAAAAGCTCACAAACCTCCACATGCCTCATAGGAGCAATTCTAGCTTCTCTGCCGGGAATTGGCTCGAAGTTATACTCGCTGGTAGGCAGCTAAAAATCTGCTGAAGGTGAGAAAGTTCAAACAGAATCTAAAGCTGATGACTCACTCCGGAAATACCCCATTCTGCCGCATAGGATTTCCAAGTCCATGCGTAATTTGGCAGATCTCTGTCCTTCAGCATCGACTTTTGAGGTAAAGAAAGTTGATAACCGACTGAGGCGCAAAAACCTTGCGGGAACACACCATATGTTCCACGATGGGCCACAATCTGATATAGTAAGACACATTCTCATAATAAAATAAAAACACAGTGCCATATAAATACTCCAGTCAAACGCTCACCTCTCTGGTGCCGGGACGACCATGCGAAAACGAAACAATTTTCACGAAGTGAGGATTGATTATCTCACTGACGTGACCAGGAAAAATGGCAGCTCTTTGTTCGGAATCTTGCACCTCGACCAGACAGCCGACCTCAAAGCGTAGTTCCTTGTGACTACTGTAGTTCGCTACGTTTTCGAATCCTCACCTTGAGAACATGCTCCTTCAATTCATACCTCCTGAAAATTATGGCAGGAACGGGATTCTTAGCAAATTTCTTGATGTTCTCAGCGCTGTACTTTCCAGGACAATAAGCAACCTAAACGAGGCGTTCAGAGGCAGCACTGCAGAAAAGTACATATGAAACTCACTGCATCCTCTTGGTGACTTGCCGCCCAGCCAATAGGATGGCATCTCGGATTAGTGATGTTGATTGACAATGTCTAAAGCATCAGAACAAGAGCAATCAACACTACAGAAAGACACTTACATAATCCAAAACCTGGTATATCACGATACCGCCTAGATTAGCAAGAACTCGACAACAAAATACACAACGTGGTTCGACGGCGTCTTGCAATTCAAAATACTGCCCTTCCTGAAATTGCGAGATTAAGATGAGTA